CTGGGTTTCCTCACTTGTTAAGAACACCTGTTTCTGAGAACAAACCACATTTTTGAGAGTATGGTAAAAAGGAGGTTGTAAAATTCCTCAATTCAGTACTTTCTAAACGTGCCTCATGGGCAAACAGCTGGAATGCTTGCTACCAGGCCCCTCCCTGTAAGCTCTGGTTCTGTAGATCTGCACAGGGCCCAGGAAAGCACAGGTGCCCCATGCATGGCAAACGTTGCTCTGAGTCAGAATAACAATTGTTATTGTTCTCTGAGTTAATTAAGAAGATTTAATTGAGCTAACTCTCAGGACTGTGGTTAATGCACACGTATCTATCTGCTGGTGTCTTGATCAAGTTCTTTTACTCTTAAAAAAAGTTATACTCTTTCAAGAATGTATGTTACTAGGGATAATAATAGAAGACTCAGAGGGGATCACAGGATTTTCATTTAATGTTTCTCTGAAGGTTTTTAAAAGATCCTGTGTTACGAGGGCCAAGGTGACTCTGTCACTCTCTCTGGGAGGCTGGAATCAGACAGAAGTGTGGTCTTGTGAATCAGACTTTAGCTGCCCAGGGGACTGATGGACAAGTAAGCCTTCTCTGTAGCTAAGTGAAAGTAGCTAATATCTGGGAAGCAAGGTCAAGTTCACTGAGCAGGTCAGAAGAAACAGAGCGGGAGTGTATAGGTGTGTGAGGCAGATCCAGGACAAGAGGTGGAGGTAGAGGATTTGACAAGCTAAGATGAAAATGCAGAGAGAGAGGACCAAATCCAACAGCTGGTTCATGAAGACAGAGCTCGAGCTTGGGTCCAGGGCAGACAGAGACAGAGAGAGAAGCCATGAGCCAGGGTGAGAATGGATGAAGTCCATGGATAAGAATGGATGAAGTGGATGAAACCACAGACACAGTTGCTGTTTTGTGTTCTCTCTGTGAGTAGTCAGTGGCTGACTCATGATATATCAGGGGTGTCAAACTCATTTTCACCTGGGGGCCACATCAGCCTCACAGTTGCTTTCAAAGAGCCAAATGTAATTTTAGGACTGTATAAATGTAACTACTCCTTAACAGTTAAGTGAGAGCTTGGCGCTGCTGCTGGGTAGAAACAAGGTGCCGGGCCAGATAAAACAAGGGGGAGGGCTGGATTCGGCCCGTGGGTTTTGTGTTTGCCACCTGTGTACTATATAAATGTGGGCCAAATGAGAGGTCCTAATATGTGCCTAAACCTCAATGGCAGAGTGAGAATGGAGGTAAAAATGAAGGATGAAATAAGAAAGGAGTCTACAACCTGCTCAGATGCCTTGTGTTTTTTCTTACTACACAGGTACGTATTCATCCCTCCAAAATTCCAAGAGAGAACGGGACCTACTCAGGGAGAGAATTATTAATTTTTCTCTTCCCTAATGCCCTAGTGAGGACAAAATTTGCCAGGCATAGCACATAACTGTGGTAGGCATGAGTATCATTTCTGGTTGAGTAGTTCTCTTTCCTCTTACCAGGAGCTATTTTCTTAGCACATTTCTCTCTTCCTCCTAGATGTCTGTATTTATAGCAAGCTCAGATCATATAGCACTTGTCAGAATAATTTGGCAATAATTGACCCATAAGCTTCTTTTCTTTCTGAGGACCAACCAGATACTCTTACAATATGGGAAGGATCAACTGCAATGATGCTCCATTTATAAACAGAGTAGATTAACCATTCTCATATTACAAACACAGAATCAGAAATCATAAGCACTGAGAAAACATATGTACAACATCACAGCTTGTGTAAGGCTTTTAAACTCTTCCCAAGACAATACCTTTATTCTCAAGTGATTTTCATTTCTCTTTGCATTTATCCAAATTGGAAATGACACTTAACGTTTACACTGTGTTTTACAGAGTCAAAGCACTTAACAAATTTTAGCAGAGCTGGTTAAGTTGCTTACAACTCTGAATACCACAGCTCATCATGATTAGGTACATCTGTGAAAAAAGAGTAAGGAGAATAAATGCATATTTCTTGGGTTTTGCTAACTAGTTCTTAGAATCATAAGCATGCATAATGACAGTGGTAATAATAGCTCATTTATTTTCCATTACATGCCAGACACTACACTGAGAATACTGCATAGATTATTTCATTTTTTCTTCCCCAAAACCCTAGGAGGTAGATAGTAGGATTACTCCTATTTTCCAGATGAAGTGACCAAGGTTCAGAATGCTGAGCAACTTGTCAGTTGCCCACATCTGGAAACTGAAAGATCCAGGGTTCAAATTTAAGCTGTTGGACTCCAGCACCCACATTCTTCCCCACCACTCTCTATAGTTCTGCCTTCGTCGTGACACAGAAATGGTGTTTGGGTGTTTGGGAAGAAGCGGGGCTCATGTGCTCTTACCTGTCTGCAGAAGGACATGTGCAAGTAGTAGAGGGATAGAAAAGATTAGACTTCTCCAATCTTCTCTACTCTTGGTAACTTTTCTCCATTCCTCTGCAATGGAAACTACTTTTCTCAAATTGAATAATATTCACACATTCGCTTTAATCAAGTGAGCAATAGCTTTTCAATGTACATTTTGGTTTTAATGTCTGGGGGTGGAGGGTTCTCAGGAGGTGGGAACCATCTATGCTTGTGTAGAGTCTGAACAAAATCAGTGTCCACTCAGTTCAGAAGCCACTGGTCCAGGGGTAGAGACATGACAGCTCCCTGAGCCAGGAAGCCTTGGTTTACCAAGCACAGCCCCAAATGACTTTGTGAGTGAAAGGACAAGTGAGCAGCCTATGACAGCAGTCCGCTATGTGGAGGGTCAGCCTCGTGAGGGTTACTCATCACAATGGTCACTATAATGTGTGATGCATACAGTTTCTTTTTCACCTAGGGGGTTTTGGATATATTGTTATTTTCCCTCTACTTCAAATTTTATCATCTTCCTAGTGTGAAAAATGATGTTTCTATTCTTCCCTTCCTCCAACCATTCCTCTTATAAGTATAAATTTTACTTATTTGGGGTTGAATAAATCGATAAAATAACTAGAGTGGCTTTGAATATACGTTTGCATGTATCTTTACTTTTTACTTCCTTTACCTCAGTGGCTGTGTCTGAAGGAAGAAGGCACAGGTGAACTGAAATCTACAACTTCCTGTGAACTATTGACAAGGATGATTTTTGTAACATCTTTAAGTGAACTTATTTCCCTTTCCAAATGATTCCTGGGATTTTTCTCATTTATCTTTCTTAGAGTTTGATTCTATTATAATATTTCAATTCTTTCTCTTATAGAAGAATATTTTATTGTTACAGACTTTTGCATGTTTTCAGATATCATCTTGTTCATATTCTCTTTTGCTTTTCCTTCTGAATGAGCCTAACTTTTTTTTATTTTGCCTTTTGGTTCCTTTAAGGGTGTTGTTTTCTGCTTTTATTCGTTTAATTTGTTGTAATTGTCAGTTAAGCACTGGGTATCCAGAACTTAACTGGATACTATAAACTTAGGATTTCTAGATTGGTCCATGAAAATTAAGTATCCAGCAGTGTCTAATGTCCTAGGTACATGAGAAAAAATCCCTCCCTCAAAGATTTAGAGACATGGCTAACAAACAGTTTATGTAATCCTAGATTAACCACAGTTGATGCTGGATAAATATTTGCTAACTTGAGAGGTAGCTTAGGATAAGTCTCATGGTAAGATTTTAAAGTGCTTTTCGACGTCAGGAAATGCATAGATCAGTGTGAGCATAAGTGGATCAGTTAGACATTCTAAAATAAAAAGAGATAAGAAATTGGGCTAGTAGCTTTATTATTATTGAAGACAGAAAAGTGGGTGAACTATGCAATAGGATAAAGAAGTAATACGTGAAAGGTCTTGCAAGTAGTGATAAAGCAGAACATGTAAAAGAACATGTTGGCCATTGTACCTGGTCTCACAATGTGTACAGTGTTAGGAGAAAGCCACAGACTCATGCCTCTCATACTGGGAAGAAATTTAAATGAGAACAATGACCAAAATGAGAATAGAAAAACAGGAGAGATCTCATCGCCAGTTCCCTTGGGGATGATTTTCCTGGTAATGTTCAGAAGCTTATGCTTTTTAATTAGGAAGAATGATCCTTGGTCTGTTTCACTCTGCGATGGAAGAAAGGGCTCAGGGTTCCAGGGAAAGGCCAATGGAGAACATGGGTTTGATCAAGGCCTCAAGGCTGAATGCAGCCTTTAGCAGCCCTGGGCCCTCCCGTTGTGGGAGGTGCTGGCTCCCATGACGTGTGATAAGGCAGAAAGGTAATTAACCAATAACAGACAAGGTGTTCCTGAAAAGTGGAGTTCATGCACCTGATTACTAATTAATCAGGCATGAGAGCACCTCGTAGATGCATTCACTATTTAATTATAGCAGCCTCTGTGGCAAAGGAGCATATGTTCCCAGCTTAATCTACTGGTTTATACTGACATCAAATTGTCATTATCAGAAAGAATCAGGCCTTTTGATTATTTCCACTAATTTATCGAACACTTAAAATTAATGAACCCCAGGCCTTTTAAATGTGCTCAGTTGGTTTGGAAGATAGAAGCAGAAAAGGGGAGTGGAAAAAAAGCCTTCATTAAAAGGACAATTTGTTTGGATAAAGTAAAGCAAGTACATTTTATGGGTGAACTGAACTCTATTGGTGAAAAACATGAATTCTGAAAGCTGAACTTTCAAAATGCTGGAGAGGAAATAGAGTATGTGGTGTGCTCTGCTTGACCAATGTTGCCCCCAAAGAACATACGGCTAAAGGTTTCTATCCCCTAATTATTGATGTGCCAATTCTCTGGGAGGCCTCACTGCAATTAAGTTTAATCAGATAAAAGCAATCAAAGTCAAATGTTGGAAATCAATTATTAGATTAAGTAACAAGGACTTCATTTTTTTATTTTGAAAATTTAGTTATGTTGGTGAGAATATAGCATAAAGCCACCTTCTCACATATGAATGCCTTTTGTATTAAGATAATCTTTGCCTCACATCTGAGTTGTGCCTTTTTGTGTTCAGTTTCAGGTGAAGGCCAAGTTCAAGTGATTCTCCAAGTGAAGGAAGGTGTACCCCCAACTATTGCAGGTGAGTATTAACCCACAAAATAAAAGAGCCTAGTATAGCAGAATGTCCTCCAATAATAGTTCTACAAGTTCTTTACATTACATTGTTTATAAACAGGCATGTAGCAGTCCTGAAGCTTTTAGGCCTAACAGCTCTCTATTGTGCCAGCCCTATAGCTAAAACGTGTCTGTGTGCCAAAGAAAGATATAAGAAGGGCACATTTCAAAACATTGGAAAGTAAAAATTAAAACATGTAAATAAGCACATTTTATAAATCCTGGGCCATATGTGCACACGGGAGTCCGGATCTGCAGCTGGGCCATTTGGCCCCCACCAAATGGAAAGAAAAATTCAGGGTATCTCAAAACTTTAATTGTTCCAGTAATTTCAGGAAATCAGGGTAAACAAACTGTCCCCAAAAGTCAGATGGTTCTGTGAAATCTTTCTAACTCATAAAAGCCAAATTTTCAAAGACAAAATGACTCATAAGTACCTTCTAATGTATTTCGTTGTTTGTTTTTGTTTATTCTGAGTCAATTTAACTCTACATTTGCAGCAGGGATAAGTCTTTTCAAAGGCTGAGCTTTCCTTTGATTTCCAGTGGCATTTTTGTCACGTGTCAGAGCAGAAACCATGCCAATCAGAAAATGATAATTCCTCCACTGGAATTAGTAAATAACCGAAGTAAAGTCACTCAACTGGAACTATGGACTGGAAGTACCGCTGGTTATTGCTTCATGCTTATTAGACTAGAAAGAATGTGACTCTTCATTTTCACGACTGTTTGTAAGCTGCCATAGCATTTGGCTCTTTCTAGCCCTGGCCTTTATTTATTTTTCTTCTTTTGAAATAACTAAGAAACTTTATTCTTACTCAATGTGAAGCAACTTTTTTATTTTTAAATTTCTAAAAATTTATTTTTTCAATTAGAGTTGAGGTACAATATTATATTAGTTTCAGGTGTACAACCTAGTGATTAGGCATTTGTACACCTTACAAAGTGATCGCCCCAATGAGCCTAGTATCCCTCTGGCACCATACATAGTTATTACAATATTACTGACTATATTCTCTACTTTGTTTTTTACATCCCTGTGATTATACCAGCAATATGTACTTCTTAGTCACTTTCGGCTTATTGTACTCTCTTCCCAACACTTCTTCCATATGGAGACCATCAGTTTGCTCTCTGTGTCTGCGGGTTTGTTTCTGTTTTGCTGTAGGTGGTTAAAAAAAGCCTTAATTGAGTGCCTCTCATGTGTGTTATACGAAGATACAGTGGTGGGCAATGGCCTTTGCCTTTGTGGGGTCTTATGGTCACCTGGGGTGTCAGTCAAATGACTCAATTTCCTTTAAAATAACTGTTACCAAGACAAGTATCTTATGGTTCTCCACTCTCTGAAAGTTCTGCATCCAAAATACTCAAGAAGAGATTAGATTTGTTGGGTCAGTCCCCAGTTTTGTAGAGAATCTAACTATTGGGGAAACTCTCATGCCAGGGCCCTTCAGAGGATACTGAAACACTTACGGTGGTCATTCCTGGTTCCACCAGCTGTAGTCAGGGTGGCATGTCACAGTGCTTAGTATAAAGATTTCTGCATATAGGGCTCTTTGGAAGAACACTGTGCATGGCCAGCATCCAATGACTTTTCAGGAGGGGTCCGTTTAACTGAGAGATGCTTCATCTGGTCTGTCAATTACAATCCACGAAGTAGATAGAAAGCCAATGTTTTATGGAATTCTAGAATTTTAATAAGGGAAGATATATCACATGTTCTCCTATTCAATTACCTTATTTTATAAATGAGGGCAGGGAAACCTAGAGATTAAAGTTTACTTAATCACATCAGTGGTCAGTGATTGAGCCTGGATAAACTCAGTTTCCCGGCTCATTCCACTGTTCTTTCTTCTATACCATATACATGCTAAAGTGCTTTGATTACCTTTTGTGGCATATGTGAATTTATAAGTTAGATTAGATTCCATTATATATAACCAGTTTTCCTAGCCCATATAGTTTGGGACAGAAAGCTATCCTAAAATGCAGAGAGTTAGTACAGTTAGTACATTATCATTCTTTAGAAAGAAATTCAAATATTAATATGGTTCTCAGACTTTGCCTGATTCCCATAGTATAGGGTACATGTGTGAATGTCAAAATTTAAATAAATATGGGTGTATATTTTGCTTAATGAATAGCTCTATGAAAAATAGTAAAGTTATTATAATATGAAAAATTCTTTGACAAAACAAGAATGGAATATTTCACAGAGTTCTATCTATATGTTAACCTATTCAGAGATTCAGTATGAGTATGTGACACAGGTGAGAAATTTTGGGTTAAGATATCCTGCTGCAGAGAGCCTCTTAGCTCACTCGGTTGAGGGCTCATTCTGTGTGCAAGATTGTGCTAGTCACTGTGGGCAATTGTGGACAGGAACCTCTAGAGACAGCAGAAACTGGGGAGCATATGGGCCAGTTTTCGGAAGAGGCAGAGGAGGTGGTGGTGATGCAAATTGTTGTTTAGGTGCCTAGTGGGTTGGGGTACAGATTTATGTGAATTTGGATCAAGATGGTATCTAGTTTTCATAATACCCTAGTATAGGTCGTTCATGCTCCTCCCACATATGGCTTTATTAGTGTCCTCTCAATGCCAACATGGGATTTATAAAAGATGGGAGGGAGGGGATGGGTGAAGCAGTCCACTTTGATGGAAGATAAACATATTTCTGAAGAGACTTTATCTCAACCATATTGTCTTTTCAGTGGGGGCTAATTTCAGATGTCATCCACAGTCATATGAGATGTTTTCTCCCTGAATTTGCCAACCCTTTTCCCACAGATCTAAGTTTATTTCCTTTTCACTGGTCATGAGAATCTGTCACCACTTTTCCTGTTTAAAGTCAGCTCATCTCTTCCAGCATCTTCTGAACTCTTTTGCCCCATCAGCAGACAACTCTTTGCCGTATGTCATTAACTAGTCCTTCTTTGCTGGCTCCTTCCAGTTTATTGCTTCACATTGAAGCAAAACAAAGCAAAATTTATGCACACCCACCTAATTCTTCTGTAGTTTATATCTCTTCTGCAAACTTCTCTAAATACCAGCTTTCTGCTCATGCAGGGCCTTAAAACCTGGGGTAGATTAAGGAATAAGTGGAAAGGGCAATATTTAACTCAAGATAGGAAGTTCAAAACCACTCCAGATTCTAAATGTCATTGAGTGACAGATTTGTAGAGAAAAGTAAGTTGAGGTTTCATTACAAATGTTGGTTCTGACCAAGATTTATGGACCCTAATTTCAAAATAAGTCTAACTTATCTAAAGTTTGGGAAGACAGATAATAGGCTGAGAGTCTCCAATTTTAATGGTTCCTCAGAGAGCTTTGTGTGTCATCTGACCCAATGTCATCCACTCCTCCTCTCCACTGCATCCCTTAGTCCACTGTAACCCGCAGTGGTTTTCTCCTTGAGCACTCCACTGAACTGTGCTCACCCTGATCACTCATGCCCTCGTCCAGAAATGCTGTGGCCACTTCTTGTTCCTTATCTTATCAGAAATTTGCTATTAACAAGATCATTTTTTTCCTGTTAGCATTTATTTCTTAGGCTTCCAAGACATTCCTCTCTCTTGGTTCTCCCTGAAGTGTCTCTGACTACTTGTTCTTTAACTGTCATAGGCTTTTTCTTTTCTCTACCTTTTATATTAATAATAGTCATATAGAAGCCAGATATTAACTATATAGAAATCTAATAACTCTGAAGGAGGCTGAAATGTGTTTTTTTTTAATCCATTAACTGTTCTTATCTTAAGGCAGTATGGTATAGAATGATCAATTTCATTCATGATAACATCCCTTAGAACCTCTACCTTAAGATTTATTTTGTTCAATTAAAGACATTTTTAGCCACCATATAAATAAGGTTGAAGATGACAAAAGTGAAGAATGTTTCCAACATCTGTAACATAAAATTGAAGTAATTAAGGGCTTTAGAGGCTTGTCATAGGGTGTTAAAGAACCTAGTTATTGCCTGTTTAAACTATCACTAGAAATAAGGCTGCAGGACACCTTTTTCTTGTGTTCATGCTGCTAGTTAGTGGCCATTTCAACCAATGTCCTCATCCTATCCCCAACTGAATGTTTCGGGTATAGTATTAGAAAGGAGGCAAAATTGGAAGGAAACTTACAAAGGCATTATAGTATTGGTTTTTATAAAATATATATAAAGCCTCTTTCTGAGTGAGTTTCAAAACATTGCCTCATTTCCATAGCGTGGGGACCATGGGGTAGGGTAGGTGTACTAATTAAATTGCCTAGGATTTTCACTTGACCACTATATTACATATATTTTTAAATTATCCTGGGGCCCTAATTAGACCATGACTTACAAGGAGTTGAAGTCAGGTAGACAAAATAATTGGGTGCTTCCTGTGGTTCTTACTGCAGGCTTTTCTCTCTGCACACTGTAATCCCCTGGAACTATCACAATCATCCTCAGAGTTTCACATACACCTCTTGGGCTGATGATGCCAAAATCTATCTCTCTGACTCAGAGCCCTTTTCTATCCTTCATGTTTATAGTTATTCCCTCCTTGCTTTATATTTTCACCTGGAGGTATCACAGAAACCCCAAACTCTGTGAGGCCCAAACGGAATTCATCAGTATATGTCTCTCTGCCCATCATCATCCATGATAGAAACCCAGAGGTCATTCTTGGCTCTTCCATCTTGGTTACCCTTCACATGCTTATCTCTGATTGTTTTTGCAGCCTCGTCATTTGCTTTCTTCCAGTTCTGCAGCTCAGCACCCAGGACTCCCTATAGTTCCTTTACTTGATCTCATATCTTGCCATTGCTCAAGCTCATCACTCTGTCTAGAATGCAGACTCTTACCCATACTCTCACCACCTCCCACTCCCCCTTTATTTTTATAGCTTCCAAACCTTTCAAATGCAGCCCAGATGCCCTTCTCCAGGACACCTCGCCTGACAAGGTCTCACTTTCTCCCTTGGTCTGGTACCATTAAAAAGAACTCCCAATATTTACTTACACAACTTACACAATGCTATTAGTCCTCTGGGGCAAAGTGTGGTATTTTATTTCTTTTTGTATCTCAACATTTTTAGGACAATTCTGATAGAGATGGCACTGATTGTTTACGCTTATAAAATTATTAACAAGTAATGGATGAGATCTGTCCTTCTCAGCAATCATGTGAGATCCCCCATCATGTGAGTTTTTGGAACTCCCAGGAATGTTTTTAGCCTGAGAAGAAAATATTTTTCATAGAACAAATATATTTCCCCTATAAGGCTTAATTAATGCCATTTGTGGTTTAATTTGAGCTACTTAAAGTAATACTGAATAAAAGAAGATCTGTACTGAAAGAAGAATGTTTAGTCATCTGTGAATCTTTTCATTCTCTTTTGAAACCATCTCTCTGCCCTGTGACTCTGTAGTAGGGATCACATTCCAGAAAATAACACGTGGGTACAGTTCAGCATGGTGTGCATGAGGAGATACTGGGCATTCCTCACTGGAAATTAGTAGATTTATGTTTCAATTCCTTGATGAAGAGACAGGTGGGATGGTTGAAAAGAAAATGCCATTTGATCACCAGTAGGAGAATCAATAAAAATCATCTGGAACATATGAACTATATATAAATTATTGCAATAAGAGGTGTCCATATTTTTATGGACACCAATTAAATTATGTTTATAAGGAATTTTAATGACATTAGAAAATGCATATGAAAAAATACTAAGCTAAGTAAAATAAGAACTGGATATAAAATTGTATATCTGATGTAATCTTATATAAAAATGCTGAGAAATGCTGTCTTTAATATTCATTAAGAGCTGTGAGATGATCATACTTTTTGACTCAGTGAGTCCATTGCTATGATTCTAATTTAAGAAGAAATCAGGATTATCAGCAAATTTGATTATCAGCATAGAGTTATTTATAATTTAAGAAGTGTTTCTCTGACTGGCTTATTTCACTTAGCATGATATGTGATTTCACTCATATGTGGAATCTAATGAACAAACTGAACTAATGAGGAAAATGAGGACAGACTCACAGAGAGCAGGATGACAGCTAGTGGGAGGGGGAGGTCAAAGGGAGGAGGGATCAAGCAAAAAGGATGAAGGATGCATGGACAAGGACCACAGGGTGGTGCTTGCTGGGGGAGGGGGTTTTAAGGGGACTAAATGGTGATGGGAAAAAATAAATTAAAAAAAAATCACCATGAAATTTCTACCAATTTTGTTGTGGCATCTTTGATGATATTAAAATCTTTGATGGTTAAAAAAGAACACTAATAAAACTTCTCAGACTAGTTGAAAAAAGAAAACAGAAAGAGCCCACATACCAAACATTAGGAATTAAGTAAGTTATGGACTTTTCATGTGATAGAATATTATATAGCCAATTAAATTAGGTTTATAAGGAATTTTAATGACATTAGAAAATGCATATGAAAAAATACTAAGCTAAGTAAAATAAGAACTGGATATAAAATTGTATATCTGATGTAATCTTATATAAAAATGCTGAGAAATTTTGGAAAGAAATACAAATAAAAGGTTAATGGCTGTTATCTCTAAGTAGTGAAGTTATAACCAATAATTACCTTTTCTTTTTTTTTCCATATTTATATCTTTCAAATATTTCCTAAGCACAAATAATATTTATAATAAGCAAAAATACAACTGGTTAATAACAAAAGGAGAATGTATTTTCCCTAGAAGTGAAGGGAATCAATGGAATAATTACTTGCTTTGTACCTGATAAATGTTTTTTTGGAAGGTTATAAAATATTAAAAAGCAGCTGCTTTTGGAGGTGAAAATATCACCAGCATTCTAAATGATAGCAGAAGTTGCAAACTGTCACAGCGAATCAGATTTTCAGTTACTTTTTGCTACTTCCCTTTTGTTTTCTAGCTTCTACCTCGGAGCCTGAATCAGCTTTAAAATGGTCCCTCCCCAAAGCATGGGCAGGTGTGGAAGAGGGCTGGGGAGGACACGACCATTCTACTCCAAGCTCTGGGGATGACGTCCTGATTTTACCCAGTGAGTGAAACAATTCATGGGTTAAATAATCACAGACAGACTGAACAAAGCCAGTCTAGTGGAGGACTATCTGTCATTTAAATATATAGTACAACATCGTAAAGAATGTGGAAATAAGAAGGCACTTACATTTACCCCTTTTTGGGGTTAATATAGGAGAGGAATTGAGTAATTCAGTGAAATCCAGAAAAAATAACTCAGCCCACCTTCATTAAAGGTGGAATAAGTAGTCACAATGCCAAATGGACTTAAAATCATTGACTAACTAGGTAATTCTTTATGTGTGAGAGAACAGATTTATAGCCTATGTTAAAGACAGATCTGGTGTATGAGAAGAAGCAGTTTGCAACTGGCTCTTTATCTTTTGCCCTTGTGAAGCTTTTACAGGTAAGACTGAGAAAAAAATAATAAATGAACTCTTCTGTTGCTGTGATTTTTCAAAGATTCCAGAACAGGAACAGATAAGTGAAACTGAAAAACAAAAGTCTGTCTATCTATCTTCTATCATATATTTATTTATCCATCTGTCTATCTATCTATCTACCTAGAACTTTCTCCATATGTACAAACATATAGGAGAAAGATGACTCAGATATACTAAAACACACAACCACACTTACAAAATTCTTTTTTTTAAGAGTTTTTTAAACTCCCAGAAAATCTCTCTAGACTGAGAGGAAAATATTTTTCATAGAACAAATATATTTCCCCTAAAAGACCTAATTACATTTACAGTTTAATCTTAAGTTAATGCTAAATTAAAAAAAAGTTCTGAACAGAGAAAAATGAACATTTGATCATATGTAAAGTAATAATAATGGTGTTATTAAACATTTTTGACAATTTACAGCATGGTAGAAATTATTCTCCATGCATTAACTAATTTAATCCTCATAATAACTCCAATATAAGTGATATTATTACTCATATTCTCACTGACAGAGAAACAGAGGCTCAGGGCAGTTAAGAAATTGCTCGGGGTCACACAGTTTGTAGTTCAGCAGAGTCAGAATTTTAACCTAGGTAGTCTTATTCCAAGTTTGTATTCTTAACCAATCAAGTACATTCTTTCCATAAAAGGACTAAGATTAAACAAAAGATAGTAGTTGTGTTGTTTGCTTTATTAGAAATGAAAAATGAAGGCAGAATGATTAATATACACTGACCACCTTTTGGGCCCTGGTGGTGTGCCTGTAACTGCAGAGAGCACTTTCAACGGGTGTGCTGCAAGAATTTTTAAGACATGTAACACCTGAGTATTTAGTCAGGGGCACTGTTCTCTTTTCCCTTAGACTGTCCAATAAAGAAATGATGACAGCCAACACAACAATAGCTGTCTGATATAAATGATTCAAAATTATACCTCTTTTTTGTCAGATTGGCAAAAATACAGGGTCCCACATAAATCACAACACTTTTCTATTACAAAATCTTTTGTTACAAAATCATGAGCATGTAATTCTCTGACATAACAATATCACATTCAAGTATAATATATGACATTTTAGGTAAACTTTTCAAATTAAAACTATAAATTACTACATCCATATTATTACCCTACCAACCACACTCAAGCAGGCATTCCCTCTGTCGGACCCTGTATAGTTTTGGTGTGCCACAGAATTTCAGTAATTAGTTCATGTGTGCCATGAGATGACTAAGGTTGAAAATCAGTGGCATACAGAGGAGTGGGACAAGAGACTATGGGTTGACCAATAGGAACTTAAACTATTATTATTATTATTAATCAACTCCCCCATCTCCCACCACTCTCAATGGAGGATGTGACTTTTTGAATAAACAAGCTCATGAGTCATTCCCATACGAAAAGGAAAAATCTGTTCCATCTCAACCATCTCTTTGATGAATCTAGCCAGCAGATTGGCCCTGGGCTATGGTTTTTCCCACTAAGCAAGCTGTTTCTCCCACTCTATGAAGGAAGCAAGAGAAGCTTTTGAAGGTTGCCAAGCTTTTAATATCCTCTGGGACCTTTATGCTGAGAGAGAAGCAATCTTAGCTATCTTGCTTGGCATTGCAGTTGACTGTATCCATTTGTGCCCCAGTGGCCCAGAAGCTCTGGCATGCTCATCATCCTTCATTTTTTTTTAATTTTAATTTTTTATTGTTGTTCAATTAAGTTGTCTCCATTCTACGCCCCCATTATTCTCCCCTGCCTGACCCACACCCCTCCCACATTCAGTCCTTCCCCTGTTGTCATCATCCTTCATTCTTTTGTTCATGGTCATGGTTGTTATACAGTGGATCTGAATTCTCCATGTAAGTGCTCTTAAACAGCACAAATCAGTGCTTTGGAAAAGGGTGGGTTAGGGGCATAGGCACTGGATGTATAAAGTATTGTATCTTTAATCGGTCCTTTAGTATTATTGTGAGAACCAGGGAAGTTATAATTTTTGAAACATGTAGTTATTGTTCAATATTTCTAGTTCTTACATGTAAAGATAAGTGAATGAAAACAGATATATAATATATAATAAATGAAGTCCTTACTCTTATCCTCTCATAAGCCCTCTTTGAACTCTAGCAAATCATCTTATAGTGGTCAGCACTTTAGTTCATCATTCCATTCAGTTTTGGGCCTTACATAGAAGCTGTTCGGGCTTATTTTTCTCTTCTGATCTTTGGCATACCTTGATATTTTGACCTCTGATGGACCTTTGTGTTTAATTCACCTTCTCTTTCTACTCATGGTTTGCATTCTTAACCTTTTCCTGGCTCTCTTGGTTTCTTTCATTCCTAGCCTCCTTTAAATCAAGTATGTTTGTGTACCCAAGTCTGGAACAAAATAGACACTCAGTAAGCATTGCTGGAATTAAATGCACACATTGATGCTATCATTCATAATTTCATACTAGAAGTACATCTTTAAGTGTGACACAGTATAAGATTTTACAGGTCTGTGGAAAATAACCTCTTCTCCAATGAACAAATTCCTAATAATTAAGATTTTTATGATGATGATAGCAACCACTGTAACTTGAGTGCTTGGTGTATGCGACATACTGTGCTATGTTTTCCACAGGATTTTCTTCCATTAATTCTCACTATTTCTTTACGTGAGGATCCTGTTATTATCCTTCTTTTTATAGATGAGAAATCCTGGACATAGAGAGTCTAGCTAGTAGGTAAAGAGGCTGGGGCAGGAAATCAGTTTGCTTCCAATGCCCTAACTCTTTCTCAGACCATGTTTAAAAATTTAACAACCCCTGAATGTGCTGGTTCATTCAAATCAGAGTAGATTCTATACTGAATTCATACTTCTCTGCTGGCTGCTCACATTTTTCCCCTTCATGCAGAATTTAAATGAAGAGAATTTTACTATTTACTCTACTTGAGGAATTCAATTTTACCCCATTCCCACTAGGTGCACACACATGGAAAAACTGGAGAAACTTCCCAGAGAGGTATCTGGTGTGACGAGCCATTGGTGAAAGCACTTGCTTTGCACCTGGTTACAAATGTAGTTGTAATTCAAGTTAACACTCCTTCCGATTCAGTTTAACCAACGTTCACTGAACGCTCATTGTGTTCAGCACTGAACCAGATGCTTCTGACATGAAGCTCCAAAGGCAAGTCAGATACAGCTGTGACTTCCAAACAGCGAGTGATCTAAGCTGGGTTAATAAAACATATAATAAATACAAAATAATACAACAAATAGCTGTAATCAAAATGGAAGTGTTTAGAATCAAAGTGTCTTAGGCAAGTAAAAGAGAGATGGCTTCATGGAAGAAGGCACTTGAAGTGGACCTTGAAAGACGGGGTAAGAGTCTCAGGGGCAGTATGAGACACAAGGGCATATTGGGGAGGTAGTGATCCTTCAGGAGATGAGGCACTGTCGACTAAGCTAAACCTGGGTTCACATTTCAATTTTGAAATTTACCAACTGGGTGACGTTAGACAAATTTTAAACCTTTCAGAGCTTCATCTAGAAGGTGAGGGCTGTAGTTACTATCTCGTAATGCTGAGAAGATTAAATGAGATAATGTCAGCACACATGACCATTACATGGAGTGTTGGCAGTAATGGAATTATAGATGAAAGCTGTGATTTTTAATGTATCAGGTCCTCTTTTCCTTCATTTTTCCATCTGGCTGCCCCTCTTGGCCTCTGGTATTAGCGACACTTTGTATTTGCTTTCCAATGGCTTATTATTTAATTCTCACAATATCTTTGGGAGCTAAATAGGTAATAACTATTATTACAGTAAAAACCCATTTTTACATAATACGATTTTAATGGAACTGCTGATTTTATAAAATGAAAGTGACTGGTAAAGAAGATTTAAGTGATACTTTTGAACCTCTAATATAATTTTATGGTGTTTTGTGTATTTTAATTCATTAATAAAGGAAATGTGTAGAACATTCCCATCATTATTCAAATAGAATAGCATAATTTTTCAATAAAATTCTTTGGGTAAATTGCCTATTTCTATTTTCTGGGAAATCAATTTTATGGAATGACCTCAGACCCATCCTATTCCATAAAAATAGGACTTTACTATACTAATAAAAAATATCACTATCTTAAGTATGCCACCATTTTCCTTCGAGGCGTTCTGTCTTTATAGACATTGGATTTTTGAAAGAGCTGTAAATTCTTCTCTGTGGTATTATATGGAATAAGCTGAGATAATCATGAAGAATTTGCTCTTGTGGTTTAGTTTCTGATAACTTAGCTTCACACAAACAGGTATATCTGATTGTCTTTCCCTCCTAAATATTGGGAGAATTGTTCTAAATGCGTTCTAGACCTCTTACAAAGATTTTCAAGTTTGGAAGTCTCAATCATTCACAAGAATGTTTGGTCAATGGGTAAAATGATCCTGCTAACTTGTACTTCCTGTTTTGTCCCTAACTGATCTAAGAGGATTTGTGTAAGATACTTCCAGAGCTTTTTTGGAGGAAGTTTCAGCCATGACAGAATGACACCCTTTTCACACAGGGCAGACTTAATGAAAGGAAAATGTGTTTTAATTT